ACAGGCGCCCCTAGTTCTTCTCTTTAATGTTCATTTACTCATTCAACAAATATTCGTGTTACCAGCTACTCTGTGGGATAGGAAATGGGGAGGGTACTACAATAAGTATTCAAAGTGCTCATCACCGGATAATTGCAATAAAATGTGGTAAATGCTATACTGAAGGGCATATAAAACACATGAAAGGATAGGGGAGGAGCCTGTGGGAATTGAAGGCAACTTCATAGGTGATATTTGAGATGCATCTTGACAAATTAGTAGAATCTAATCAGGAAGACAGGAGAAAAAGCACATTTCAGGCAAAGAGAAGGAATTGCAGAGTATTTGCATATGAAGGCGGGTGATCCACTCTGGAACAAGGGATTCTGTGTAGCTAGAGTGTAGGGAATATGGGGGAGAAAAGAGGCACAGGTTGGGGCCAGGCTATGAGGAGCCTTGCATACATGCAAATGGTTTAGGCTTTGCTCTGCAGAAAATGAGAGCTGCAGGAATTTTTTTAAGTGTAAAATGACAGGATGACGTGTGTTACAGAGTGATTTCCCTGTTGGCGGTTTGGAGGCAGGGAGAGAAATACAGAAGGAAGCATCTGCAGTGGTGAGGAGTGAGGAGGGGAAGGAAACCGGAACAATGGCCCATATAGACCGGAAGGTTTCTGAGGTGGTGTTAACGGACTATGAGAATGCAGGAGAGGAGGCTGCGTGGAGGCAGCCTGCCCATTGTCAGTTGTTTGTTTGTTTGTTTGTTTAAGATTTTATTTATTTATTTGAGAGAGAGGGAGAGCACAGAGAAGCAGACTCCCCGCTGAACAGAGAGCCCGCTGGGGGCTCGATCCCAGGACCCCGGGATCATGACCTGAGCCGAAGGCAGACGCTCAACTGACCGAGTCATCCAGGCGCCCCCATTGCCAGTTTAGACCATCACATGGAGAGGTAGAGGGACTATTGTTCTCATAGGGAATGAGGTAGGGCAAGTGATAATGGTTAGTCTGAGTCAAGAACCACTTCAAGGGAAGACTATTTTTTTAAGATTTTATTTATTTATTTGAGAGAGAGAGAGTACCTGTGGGGGATGGGGGTAGGGGCAGAGGCAGAGGGAGAAGCAGCGGAACCCAACACAGGGCTCAATCCCAGGACCCTGAGATCACGACCTGAGCCCAAGGCAGACGCTTAACGGACTGAGCCACCCAGGCGCCCAGGGGAAGGCATTTTTAATGCCCGTATAACTCTTCCAGCTCAGTAATTTGAAAGCCCACTTGACAGTTGAGCTTGTGAGCAAACTGTAGTGTCTGGACCCACTAGTGATAGTTTCTGCTATGCTAGGAACTAGGTATACTTGTTAAGTGAAAAGAAATCACCCCATAATATGTAGTATGATTCCATTTATATATTTTTTTCAAGATTTTATTTATTTGAGAGAGAGAGAGCACGCACAGAGGAGAGTGAGAGGGAGAAGCAGACTCCCCACTGAGCAGGGAACCCGACACAGGACCCTGGGAGCATGACCTGAGCCGGAGGCAGACGCTTACCCGACTGAGCCACCCAGGCGCCCCTCCATTTATATATTTTTTAAAACTAAATGCAGGGAGGGCCGCCTGGGTGGCTCAGTCGTTAGGCGTCAGCCTTCAGCTCACGTCATTGTCCCAGGGTCCTGGGATCAAGCCCACACCGGGCTCTCCGCTGGGCGGGAAGCCTGCTTCTCGCTCTCCCACTCCCCCTGCTTGTGTTCCCTCTCTCGCTCTCTCTCTGTCAAATAAATAAATAAGTAAACAAATAAAATAAATAAATAAACTAAGTGCAGGGAGTAAGACAAATAGCGGGCCAGGGAGAAAGACAGAGATTGGGATTTGAAGAAGTGCACAGCAGGTTACTATTAGTAAGGAAGACGAGCGGGACTGGGAGAGGGAATGGAGGGAATCTTGACAATTTGCTCTGAATTCCTGTGCATGTTCAAGTTGTTTTGAACAATGCGTTTTATAGATGTATGCTTTCGTGACTTTTCAAAGCCGTTTGTTGCGAGATGCACGATGCTTACACATCTTCCTGGCTGCCACTAGGTGGCAGTAGCGGCAGGACGGACTGGACGGCCTTTACGCTGCCTGTGCTCAGCAACGACACCTCCGCGTGGGTCGAACTTCACAGTGAAGAGTGAGACAAATTGCTTCACCCATTATTTTTATTATTTTTTTTAAAAGATTTTATTTATTTATTTGAGAGAGAGCACATGAGAGGGGGGAGGGTCAGAGGGAGAAGCAGACTCCCTGCCGAGCCGGGAGCCCGATGCGGGACTCGATCCCGGGACTCCAGGATCATGACCTGAGCCGAAGGCAGTCGCTTAACCGACTGAGCCACCCAGGCGCCCACTTCACCCCTTATTATTAGCATATATTCTCAGAGCTTAGGGCTCAAGGGTCCCCAACTTCCCTTTTGTTCCCCCTCTGGATATGAGGTAAAAGATTTTCTATATCCTTTGTATCCAAATATTTTCAAGTAAAAAAAAAAATGTCCTTTCTGCATCAATATAAGTTGTACACAGTTTGGTTCACATATATTCAGATTTATCTCAAGATATCCACTCTAAAAATAATATTCCCAATCCAAGGGGCGCCCAGGTGGCTCGGTCGTTAAACGTCTGCCTTCGGCTCAGGTCATGATCCCAGGGTCCTGGGATCGAGCCCCGCATCAGGCTCCCTGCTCAGCGGGAAGCCTGCTTCTCCCTCTCCCACTCCCCCTGCTTGTGTTCCCTCTCTCGCTGTGTCTCTCTCTGTCAAATAAATAAAATCTTTAAAAATAATTAATAATAATAATAAAGACTACTGTTCATTTGAATTCTTGCTATTTGCCAAGCCCTGTGCTAAATCCTTCATGTACTTTATCTTGATTTCCTCAGCCACGCTGTAAAGAAGCATTATTGTTCCCATTTTACAGATATGAAAACAGAAAGTTGGGAAGGTTCAAGTGGCAGGCTCAGATTTATCTATCTTCAAAGCTTGTCCTCTTAATCCCTGTCCTTTTCTGAAGATAGTTAAGGGCCCTGATTGCTCAAAAATCTGTTTACAGCCCCATTTAATAGATTACTGAGGATCTCAACTTTCCCCCTTCCTCTTACCCCTTAGTTCACTCTCTTTTGCAAAGGAGAGAGGAAAGTTCAAGGCAGGGAAGTAAATGTAAACTTGTCCATGTGATTTATACTGACATCTTGCCTTATACATTTTTAAAGGCAAGAACTGTTTTTCAGTTGCTTTTTATCTCCCCTCAGCACCTCCTATGATGATCTACCCACAACAGTTGCTCAATACTTTGATGCGCCAGTGACTGGCTGGCCTCTGTCTCACATTTGAGGTTGAGAAGGTTAGTGATGGGATATAGCTCAAGGTTTGTGATTTTCTGTGGGCCAAGATGATTTTTACCATCTGTTTCCCTTTACCATGAGTCCTTAAGAATTAAATGCAAATTGGTTTCCAAATTGAAATATTTCAGCTAGTTGTTTTTTTTTTTTAGGTGGGTCTAATCGTATTATTTTAAGAAAAGAAAAACAGATCAAGCGTGGGTGTGGTTGTTTGAAAGTAGTAAACAAGAATAAATCCACCACAACCTTCTCTTTCTTAGGAACTTGGAGCTAGAGCTTGTTTTCATGGTATAATTAGGTAGGGACTTCTGTGACTTAATTTAAAAGCCTGAATTATAATCACCTTTTTTTTTTTTTCAAAACAGTTTTCTTCTCTGCTACCCCTGGATGAACCTGGCTCTGCCTCTCCAAATTCAATGATGTCAGGTCAGTAGGGAGCGAATTCAAGACCGTGCAATGCCCATCAGCTATTAGCTGGGGAGATCTCTTCATCCCCAAGGTCCAAGTTCAATTCTAAAGGGCATGTTTTCTTTTCAACATATGTGGTTATCCCTATGAACAGTAGTGGATATTGAGTGTGATCATGAAGAAGACTCTTTACCCCTAAGAATTTCCCAAGCATGAATTTCACAAGACCAAACTAAACACGGTTTTGCTCTTTGGCTTCATCCTCCTCTGTGTTCAGACAAATGGTGACACGTAAGAGATGCCAATTGATGAAATGTCGACACAGGTGGCTTCTCATGCGTCATCTCAAGGACGTGGGCTTTGAAAATGGCTTCTCTGTGTAATTCTTGGCCATTGTGACCGTGCGAGGGAGGCGAGGGGGCATTTCTGAACAGCGTTGTTTTTTTGTGTTTTTTGTTGTTGTTGTTGTTTTCTGCCCAGATGTCCTACAATTTGTGCCAGTGAATGAGATATACTCAGGACTGCATTAATGTCCTATTTTGAAATGCTGGCTTCCCTGTCTACCTTCGGCTGATTTTATCAATATCAGATACTCTGACATCATGAACTGAAAAACAGGCACTGAAAAAAAAAAAAAACAACTAAAATATGAATAACAAACCATTCTAGATGAGACAGACAGTTCTAGAGGGCTGGCTCCACTTGCCGAGAGGTGTATAACAACAGCAAATAAGCCAAAATAAGAGGCGGCCTTGTTTGTATAGTACTTAATAGGCCCCAGAGGGAAAACAGAGAGCTCGATGAAACAATCTTGCCTAATTTTTTTCTTAGGTTCTTTGCTCTCTATTTCATGGAAACAGTTTAGAAAGGTCTCTAAAATGCACTGGTTGAAAGAACCCTAGTGTTCTTAAAATGTACGTTAACGGCTTTAATCTTGCTGGATATACAACTATCCATAGCCGTAGTTGCATTAGCATCAACCAAACTCAGTAATCTCCGCCAGTAAGGGCTTAACTGATATTTCCAAATTCTTCACCAGAAAAAGAGTGGGAAATAATATGATTAATAGTAAGATGAAGACACTTTTCTTTTGAAATTATTTTTTTTCTTTTTTCCTTTTTTTTAGATTTTATTTTATTCGACAGAGAGAGACACAGCGAGAGAGGGAACACAAGCAGGGGGAGTGGGAGAGGGAGAAGCAGGCTTCCCACCGTGCAGGGAGCCCGATGCGGGGCTCGATCCCGGACCCTGGGATCATGACCTGAGCTGAAGGCAGACAGCTAACGACTGAGCCACCCAGGCGCCCCTGAAATTATTTTTAAGGATGTAGACAACTCACTCTCTTCTTTGTTGGTATTAACCTACAAAAGACAAAAAGTCAGCTTGTGGTTATCTTTTCATGACTGTTGGCCTCAATTCCTGGCTCAGGACATAATATAAAGCAGTGCAATTGGTTTTGTCTTGTATAAGAAACTAAAATTAAAATCTCAGGAGTTACTTATTTTAACCCAGAAACAGGAAAGGAAGCAGTCTATCAGAAAAAGTCATAAAGACAGCTTCTCAAATGTGTGGACCTTTTTAACTTAGTACCAATCTTTGACAAAAAGCAAAACAAAACAGAAGTGAGGTTTTCTTTAAGTTTTTAAAAATTTTTCTTAAAAATGTCTTTCTCTAGTTGCAACTGGACACTGCTTCTGTCAGGTCATAATCTACTCTGGGGAATGACTAACTAAATTACTATATCCATAAATATTCTAGTGGAAAACATTTGCAAGGCTCATTTTCATAAGTACACTGCAGTACCTCGAAGTTGAGACCAACCCCATAGACTAAATTCAATTCTATTTTTATACATTATAGTCAACAATTTCAAGGTGTTATTTTAAACATCACAACTCTGAAAGTATGACAGAAAAGAGTTATATGGATGCAATATAAACCAATATTTCAGTTTATTGTGGAAAAAAAACTACTCAGTGATGGTGAATTCCATTTTTCATACTACCCAGTTCTGAAAGTCAAGCAGCCTCTAGCATTTTTTTTTTTTTGGCTAGGATAAGTGATTTTTGGAAAATAAAATTTGGACAAATGTATGTTATGCTGGCTCTTGACACATTCAATCTCTTTCTGTTTTTTAAAAATCATAAATCATACTCCTGTTGTCAAATTTTTAACTTTTGAAGAAGAAATAGCCCTAGATGTTTATTTACCAAAGCTAAATGAGTTGAAGTCATCACAACTAATTCTGGCTCATTCCTGGGATTCTTCTAATCACACATTACTTGGTTAAAGGAGTAAATGTGCTATATTAACTGAATGCTTGAGTGAGTGAAGTTGTTTATACACTGTGTTACCCATTAGGCAATATTCTATACTACTCACTGGTCATTCTATAATTGGAAGGGGAATTGTATTTTATTTTATTGTATTTTATTTATTTTTTTTAAAGATTTTATTTATTTATTTATTTGAGAGAGAGAGAATGAGAGACAGAGAGCACGAGAGGGAAGAGGGCAGAGGGAGAAGCAGACCCCCTGCTGAGCAGGGAGCCCGATGTGGGACTCGATCCCGGGACTCCAGGATCATGACCTGAGCCGAAGGCAGTCGCTTAACCAACTGAGCCACCCAGGCGCCCAGGGGAATTGTATTTTAGCCAATAAGCCTTTATTGAGTGCCTTCTATACATCAAAGGATTGGGACAGAGAAAGAGATCACAAAATAATCTCTAGGTTATCTTACAAGTTACAATTGTTGAGACAAAAATGTGAAAGTAAAACCACAATAAACAAGTAAATAACTTATCTGCTAAAGAGGAAAATCTTTTATTTTCCTTTTTGCTTTTGGTCTTGTTATTAAATTCCATTTTTAATCCACTTACAGTAACAGTTTGAAGCTTACTAGGTAAGTTTAGATCTAAAAGATTGAGGTGTTAGCATTATCAACAAATAATTTGTGATTACAGTGCCTGAAACAAAGAGCTAACATTTTTGAATGTCTCAGTAGAACACACAAATCATCCTCCCACCCCCTGCAACTATACCAGTCTAAAGAGAAGTAGAAATCTTTTTATATGGGAGGAATGAGTCTCTTTCTTCTCTTATCTTTTAAAGATTTTTTTTGTTTAAGTCCTCTCTACACCCAACATGGGGCTCAAACTCACAAACCCCAAATCAAGAGTTACATGTTCCACCGACTGAGCCAGCCAGGTGCCCTGGAATGAGTCTCTTCTTACTTTGTAAACACATAGGGCTCGAATTCCAAACTCCTTGGTTCCCTTTTCTGGCTTGGCAGCTTCTTCCACACATCCCCAGGGTGAACTGCTTTGTCTCATGGACATTTCATCTTCTTGCCTGATAAAAGGGGAGGAGGAATAATAATGCTTTTACTGCAGAGGTGTTGGTAAGAATTAATTAATATTTATAATGTGCTACATTAACGTCCTCAAGTGATTCATAACGTAGAATTTATAAGCACTTGATCGTTGCTTATTTAAAACAGTTCTTGGGTTTTCAATTCAGGCAAAAAAATGTAACAAATCTTTATACTTCAAACAGTAGGATTAAGCATAGGAACATTTTGGCTCTCCTAGGAACAATTATTTTCCTGAGGTGAAAATATGGCTTTAGGCTATGAATACAGTAGCTTTCATTTAGAGCTGATAAAAGCTGAAGGAAGGAGGTTTTACAAAAGCCATTTTAATAGCTTATCCTGCCATCTTTGGTTGTGTTTTCTTTTCTTTTCTTGAAGATTTTATTTATTTACTTGACAGAGAGACACAGAGAGAGAGGGAACACAAGCAGAGGGAGTGGGAGAGGGAGAAGCAGGCTTCCCACCGAGCAAGGACCCCCATGCGGGGCTCCATCCCAGGAGTCTGGGATCATGACCTGAGCTAAAGGCAGACGAGACGCTTAACGACTGAGCCACCCAAGCGCCGCTTTGGTTGTGTTTTCAACCATTCGCTCTTCAAGGGGAATCAGTTCATCTAATTTACAATTATTAATTTTAGCGCTTAAAAGAAACCCAAGGGGCGCCTGGATGGCTCAGTCGTTAAGCGTCTCGTCTGCCTTTGGCTCAGGTCATGATCCCAGGGTCCGGGGATCGAGCCCCACATCAGGCTCCCTGCTCCGTGGGAAGCCTGCTTCTCCCTCCCCCACTCCCACTGCTTGTGTTCCCTCTCTGGCTGTGTCTCTCTGTCAAATAAATAAATAAAATCTTAAAAAAAAAAGAAACCCAAGAAGTCATTTGGTTGATGTCCTCTACCTGCAGTAATAGTATTGAGCACCTATTCTGCAAAACGACTTTTTCATTTTATAGATTAGGAAATGATGGCTTGGTGAGCTTAAGCGACAGAGCAGGGATTTAAGCCCACATCACTGGACAATACAGCCCATTCTCTTTCCACTACCTCAAACAACCATCTCCAAGAAATACCGAAAGCTGCCCTACCCTGTGCAAACAGGCATTTCTTCTTTCTGTCCCCATCCTTTCTCTGAACTTAAAACTTAAATTAAGACGTTCTAATGGAACTTCAGTCCCAACCCCAGAAAGCCCAAATCATCAGTTATTTTTGAAGTTGTTTTTGAAGGATAGGTAGTTTATAATCACTTTAAAAAGACACTTTTATAAATTTATTTTTTTTAAATTTTATTTATTTATTTGAGAGAGAGAGAGCGAGAACATGAACAAAGAGGAAAGGCAGAGGGGGAGGGAGAAGCAGGCTCCCCAGTGAGCCGGGAGTCCGATGTGGGGTCGATCCCAGGGTCCTGGGATCGTGACCTGAGCTGAAGGGAGACACTTAACTGACTGAGCCACCGAGGCACCCCCACTTTTATAAATGTATATTGAAGAAACAGTAGCTATATATATCCTTTCTTGAAAATTGACTTAGTTCACTCAGTTTCAGTAATTTTTTTATGCCAAATTAAAATGCATGTCATATTTTCAGAGCCTTTTAAACTTTGAAGTATAATATACATACAGAAATGAAGTATACTGTCTAAATAAAGTAAATGTCTAAAACGCATTCCATCTTTATCTTATTAGACATGATGCCATTTCACATCTCAGACAAATGTATACAAGTAATAATGAGCTCTAATATTGTTTAAATTACCTCATATACTTAAGAGTGCTCTGAAAGGTTAAGCTCATTATTTAAATTAATGATTATTGTTAAAATATTATTATAATTGTGGTTATTTTAAATGATAATGATATATTTTCTTATGTCTTTGGACGGCAGGCAAGACAAGATAAAGATAAGTTTACCTTATTTATTTATTTTTTAAAAGATTTTATTTATTTATTTAGAGAGAGAAGAGAGAGCATAAGCTGGGGGGAGGGGCAGATGGAGAGGGAGAAAGAATCCCAAGCAGACTCTGTGCAAAGTGCAGAGCCTGACACAGGGCTCGATCCCACAACCCTGAGATCACTACCTGAGCTGAAATCAAGAGTTGGACACTTAACCAACTGAGCCATCCAGGTGCCGCAAGATAAAGATAATTTTAAAAATTGTAGGCTCCGCTGCACACTACCACAATCTGTAAACAGTGATTAATAACCCATACAAGTATGGATATGTACAAAATTTTGTTCATTCAATTTACCTCCACACAAGTTGTGTAAATCATCTTTGTTGTTTTTTAGTGAAATGATATGGCCTTAAGGTCCAGAAATACCTAAAAACTTGAATAGCAATTGAGAGAAGTCAGTCTTAAGTTGATACCCATCTTCATCCTTTCATTTGGACTCATATTTTTCTGTTTAACATTCACTGACATGTAAATAGACAGAGAGACCTTTTCAAACTCACATCATTGTTCTAAGCCGGTAAATATCAAACCCCCAACTATGGAAGCTCTGTGATGCTCCTGGGCTAAGAACACATATTTATGGGATCCCCAATGAGCATAGGGCTTCTACTGTATGTGGCCGCACTCTTCTCATCTCTTGACAGTGAGTCGGTTTAGCCCTACTTCTAACTTAGGTAGAAGGATATAGGCCACCAAATATCTTGCTCTATGCCAAGACTCAAACACAAAATACATACACCTTAAAAGATTAACTTGGACTTAGTCCCTATTCTCAGTGTCTATTATGACAGGTGCAAGAGCTTAGCAGCCTTCTGGGTACCACGTCTCCAGCTCCCTCCTGGTCATGGGGCTTTGGCACCATAAGCAGAAAACACCCTGAGGGGCGCCTGGGTGGCTCAGTTGGTTAAGCGACTGCCTTCGGCTCAGGTCATGATCCTGGAGTCCCGGAATCGAGTCCCGCATCGGGCTCCCTGCTCAGCTGGGGGTCTGCTTCTCCCTCTGCCCTCTTCCCTCTTGTGCTCTTTCTCTCTCATTCTCTCTCTCTCAAATAAATAAATAAAATCTTTCAAAAAAAAAAAAAAAAGAAAGAAAGAAAACACCCTGAGAATGTTCCCTAAGGGGCTGAATTCAGCTTTTGTCTGCCTGGTGAAAAACATAATTCTTCTCCAACCATTCCCCTAGGATTTTCCATAGGGAGTAACATATAACACTAAACTGACCCAATTTGAAGAACAAGTTAGCTAAATGAGAAAGAAAACAATGTCCAATAAACATATTGACTGAAACTTCTGTAGTTTGAGTTTAATTTGCTATCAGATTGTGTTCTCTTTTGGCACTGCAATCTGGCTATAAGTTTTCAGGAAAAAACCGTATTTTTAGAAAATATTAAATGTTGGGACGCCTGGGTGGCTCAGTCAGTTAAGCGTCTGCCTTTGGTTCAGGTCATGATCCCAGGGTCCTGGAATCAAGCCCACATTGGACTCCTTGCTCAGCAGGGAGCCTGCTTCTCCCTCTCCCCTTGCCTGCCACTCCCCCTACTTGTGTGTTCTCTCTCTCTCTCCCTGACAAATAAATAAAAATCTTAAAAAAAAGAAAATATTAAATATAAATATAGGTATTAAAAAGATCATAAAAACTTTCTTAAGAGCTTTGTTGAGAGTAATTTGAATTATTTATGAAATTTATTAGAACCCAATATAATCATCTACTTAATTTGATTTTCTAACATTTTTCCTTAGAGTTGAAATTTTTACAAAGTTTCAGACCAAAAAAAATTTTATTTACATGGAAATATTTTTTCTTTTTCTTTTTTTTTAAGATCTTATTTATTTATTTGACAGAGAGAGACACAGCAAGAGAGGGGAACACAAGCAGGGGGAGTGGGAGAGGGAGAAGCAGGCTTCCCGCCGAGCAGGGAGCCCGATGCGGGGCTCGATCCCAGGACCCTGGGATCATGACCTGAGCCGAAGGCAGACGCCTAACGACTGAGCCACCCAGGCACCCCTACATGGAAATATTTTTTAAAGGTCTTCATTTTATAGACATTATATGGTCCCAGAACTTAAGCAACAAGTAAATAAATAAATAAATAAACAAACAAAGCAACCAACGAATTTTTAAAAAGTTATGGGGTGACGAGTGGAGAGAGGTTAGACTGATCTATTGTCATGTAACACATTCTCCTACTAAATCATACAGAGGAATTTTAGATCAGCAGGTAAAAAACTATTCCAATTTCCCTTATAAATGCTTTAACAACTGCCATGGTGAGAAAGTATTTCTAGGTATCTACAATTAATGATAAAAATGAGTGGTCATTATCTACATAGAAACACTGTACCTCTGGTACAATAAAACTCAAAAACTAAATTCATAAAGTGACTAAAAATAAGTAGGCAGAAAGTCTATCTGAATCTATTTCAGAGAGGAGTCTTTTGACTAATTCAAAAAGTATCAGTCTTTGCTCCCCTTCAAACACTCACTTCATTTCCTTAACTTCTAGTTATATAACTGATTCTGTGACTTGTAAACAAACAGCCCCATTGCTTGACAATTCTGGATCTGTGGGTTTGTACTGCTATTTCCCTGTGGAGGTTGAGAGCTGCATAATGATTTATTCTTTCCCCCACCCCTGCCTTCTTTTCCTATTTTGCTCCCTCTTTATTGTGAAAGTAGGTTACAAAAAAAAATCCAAGGGAACTAAATGTGAAAACAAACCCTGGTGCTATAGGATTGAGGCCAGCAATTTAAACACCCGAGGCGAAGGAATGCAAAATGTGAGGGTCTCATAACTCAGATGAGCTCCCTACAGGGAGACGACTAATATACTGTATTTTTCAGCATCCCCTGGACTCCCAACCATATGCTTTTGTGTAAAGCAGCTTTGATTCTCCTGATTTCCCACGCATGAAACTCTCACAGCTTCAAAGAGAGCTCTGCATGCAAAAGATCCATGGGGGAGAGTTCAGGAGGAGAACCGGGCTAGTAGGCAGAATGTGGGTGAATTAACATTCCAGTCTGTGCTTTAATTCCAGTGC